GTCCTGGCATACATGCTTCTCACCAATAGACAAAACTGGATGGCTAACCCAATGGGGTTAGACCATCGACCTAACATGCCCGATTTTGGTTTCCTCCGGAACCCAGGATAAGGATGTTACAAGTTGGTATCAGAGCTCAGGGAGATCTCCTAGTTTTTTCCTAGGAGGCCGTGCCCACAGTTTTGTCGCTTTTGATAAAGATATATATATATATATAGATACATATATAGATATATATGTTAAAAAAAATTGGGTGATTTCGAAACCGGTAACAACAACACATTAGATAACAGTTCAATAAAACTTCTCTTTCTTATTTATTTTTTCTTTTTTTTTTAGCTGGAGGTTCTTCCACACATGTATAGCAGCACGCAAGAAGGTCACTCCTCGTTTTCAAGTGGAGATTAGCAAAGAGCTGGTTGTCATCTCGTCCGATAGGTAATTTGTGTGCTTCTAGCTTTGAAAAAAAAGGTTTTCTTTTGGAATAGAACTTAGATTTTTAATTTCCTGATTTTTTTTTAGACTTTTATTTATTCTTGCTTTTAGGTTTTCTTATGAATTAGTTAGATTTCTTGTTAGTGACTTTTTCTTTTCTTTTTCTTTTTTAAAAAAATTGTTCAACTCCTCTTTTTCAAATTAATAAAAAAGAAAAAAAAATTTAGGAGTAAAAATCGGTTTTTCTTTGTTTAAGTTATTTTAATATGAATTAGTTAGATTATGTGTTCATATTATTTTCTTTTCCCTTTTCCCTTCTCCGGAGACTGAGAATTCTTCTTCTTTGCATTCTTATCGAGGGTTCGTTCCCAGCTAATCCATTTCCCAGGATTCGGGGACGAATCCTTTGCAAGGAGGAGAGAATTGAGAGATCCCAATCTCTTGATCTCTTTTTTTTTTAATTAAAATCAATTCCTCCCTAAACGAATCCAAACCAAACCAACCTTATATAAACCAATTTTTTCCCAGAAACCCATATCTCTCCTATTTCTCTATTCTCCTCTTCGATATCATACAAATTGAAGCCCCAAGTCTCAGCTTTCCGAGAAGACCGAGTTTGTCCAGATCACAGATTGGTTCCAGGAGTTATGGTTGTTTTCGTGTCAGGTGTCAAATCTGCTCGAAGATGAGAAAAGGTGGAAAAATGTATCTTCATCCAAGGTGAGGGCTTGTTGCTTATCCCACCCCTTCATTATATGTTTTAATATGTTGATTAGTCTTCTATTAAACTATGGCTGTTATAAGTGTCAATCGGATGTGACTTGGTGTCTTTATGAACTGTTGATGATGTGTGGTGAGATAGATTGTTAGAAATAGATGATGACTGATGATTGATGCTTGAAGGAAAAATAAATAATACTTTGATTGTTTTCTTGTTTATTTTTAATCAGCTTAATTTTATTGGATTGAGTCTTTCTTGAGCTTGTTTAGGATTAAACTTTTCTTAATCGTTATTTCACATTATGTTGGAAGTGATAATGAATTTCTTAAGGTTCACCTCACTGGGTGAATAACTCACGCCTCCTTTTTCTTTTCAGGTTAGCACTGGGTCGAATGTTTAGTGCATGTTGTCATTGTTACATAGGCGTTTTCAGTCCTGGCGTATCTGTTGCTCAACAATAGACAAAACTAGATGCCTAACTGAATGAGGTTAGATCATTGACCTAACATGCCCGATTCTGGTTTCTGATATGTCTATATTTTACATCATTTAGATTGCATTATAGAGTCCTCATCATGTGTTTTCTCATGTAAATTGAGTCTTTAGGCGTTAAAATAGGACTTAGGGCTTGCATTAGGTCCCAAAGAGTTTTGCATGTTTTGAAGTCTTTATCAGGAGCTTTGGAGACCAATTGGAGCCTAAGAAGAGGAACAGAAAAGAAAACGGTGAAGAAAAGGGTCAAAAATGGTGAAAACCGCTTGGAGGAATTTCTCGGCCAAATCTCGTACCGGCTGGTCGGAAACCTCGGCCAAAATGTCTACCGGACGCTCATTACCGACCAAAAACCTTACCGATCGGCCAGAATCGAGTATCGAGTGCAAAAATACCACGGGAAAAGTTTTTGACCGAGGCAAGAATTTTTACGACCAAAAAGCTTACCGCGGTACACAGCCCTCGGCCATTTTTCTTACCGCGGGAAGGTTTTTACGACCAAAAGTTGTCCTTGCCCGCACAATTCAGAGATCAGCAATCCGGGGAACCTTCCGGTCCGAATCAGTTGGCAGGGTCTTCACCAAAGTTGGAGATAACCAAGCAAAGATTCCAGAACAGTTAGAATGATCCAATTCGGACCAGTGGAGAGAAAGATATGGCTTCCGGAGCATTCACCAACATTGCGCGTACCCGAGAACTGAACGGCGAACTTCAAAGATCATGGCGGACGGAGCCCCTCCAGACCGAACCAGCTTACCCGGTCTTCACCAAAGTTCGAGTTCCTTGGAAGATCTTCTCAGAGCATTTGGAATCGCTCAATTCGGAGCAAAGGTTTGGAAGATAGGGTCTCCGGAGTTCACATCGGTCTAAAAGTCTATTTTCCGGTGATTTCAATGCGGCGCAAAGATGTTAAATCCAGGAAGCCTTCCACTCCCCAAGCTCAGATGGTTTCTTAACCAAAGTTCGAGCTTATTGAGTCATCTTGACTGTGAAACTGGTCCCAGAGCAATTGGAGTCGTGTGCTGAAAATTACTGCTTCCGGAAGGTGATATGGTTGATACAACCTAAAAGAGTTGCGATACGCGCTAAGTATTCTCACAAGCCTCGGTATCTTTACCTTGGCGTCACTCAAGTTGAGGCTCATATCTTGGAAGTATTCTGGACTAGACCTCGTGCCAAAGCCTTGTCATGGTTATATCGAGGCATGCATACGTAAGAACTGAAGCTGGAAACGACTAAGTGTTGAAAGTACACCTCGATGTAATGACCTCGGCGTGCATGCCGGACTGTGTTCTCCCAAGCACCTCGACATCATGACCCCTCGACATTTTATCCCGAGGTCCCTTGTCACGAATGAATCAAGAACAGAATGGCTCAAGAACATACACGTGAGGATAGATCAAAGACTAGGGTTCATGCATGTTCTTGACGTGTTCTTCACGAGATCTTCATCTGGATCCTGACTCACGTGCACGCCTCGGCATGAAGACCTCGACTTCACTTTCCGACACACCGTGGCACTCACCCATCAACCCAAGAAGGCGGTTCAGTACCCAGTTTGTTCCGGGCTGACCCGCGACACTTTCCCTTTGCTATAAATACATTTTGAGACTAAAAACCTAGGGATCTTATCTCTTATCTGTTTTTAGCTCTAAGAACTTGCCTCTTTTGTGAAACTTGATTAATCTAATCCGATATCTCGTTTTTGCATCGGAATCTTGTTCTTTCTTTATTTCTTTTATCATCCAACATCAAACTCCTTATCATGACTAGCTACACGTCTTGCAAAGGACTTAGTAAGCTCGTTATGATCAGTGAGTAGTCGTTTAAGCGGCTTTAGATAGGTAGATTAGGGTGCTTTCAAGGTGGATTAATGGGTTTAGGTGTCTAGTCTTGCATGTTTCATTCCTTAACCGACGAGATCTAAGCTGGATCCAAGCACATCACTTGAGGTTAAGATCTGAGAGATATCTCGAATCAGAAGTGTTTGTAGAAATGTCTGAACCACTCGGTTAAGGGTTTAAGAGTCTTTCATCGCGAGAGTGATAGTTTGTTCTCTTAAATGATGTTTTTGAACCGATTCTTATTGCTGACTGATTCGTGCTTCTCAAAAGGGATTTTGATATGAAAGAGGATCAGTTTAGACGTTTAATACTTTCATGAGAAGATTAACGTGCCTTGAGTTCAAAGTCAAATGAAATCGCTTGATAAAATGATTCATTTGCCCCTTAGTCTAACTTGGAAGCACCCGAGTCAAATATCCTGTCTAAAGCTTCTGCCTTTATCATTCATTACCATCATCTGAATCACCTGTTTGTTATTTGCATCTTGATTAGTTTAAATCTCTGCTTTTACTTAACTTTATTGCTCATTTGCCTGTTAATCAACGTCACCAAACTTTTATCATCTTGTCTTGACTTAAGTGAACAAATGACATAGGCTAGTGTCTCGTTTACAAGCTTGGTTTGACACCCCTTATACTACTTTGACAAGGGGATTGATACCCTTTCTAAGAGCCTGAAAACTCTTAGTTATCAATTGGCGCCGTTGCCAACTTGTAGGAGCATTAGTCTCTTGTTTGTTCTTGAGTTCAAGCTTTTCTTTCCTTTGTTTTACTAACTTCTTTCCAAGTTCTTGTTTTGTTTTCAGGTGCATGAATACCAGGTCTCGGAGCACAGGATCGCTTTTCCCATACGACGATAACATCGACAGATTAGAAAGGCGAGCTCGCGAGAGAGAACGGCACTTTGACAGACTTGGAATGGCAGAACAACGGAGAATGGAGCAACAGGCTCAGGTAGCCGAGCACCAGGCTCAGGCTAATCAGGCGCAGGCAGGAAGAAATGAACAACAAGCCTATGTTAATCAGCAACAATCTCAAAGAAACGAACGGCTTGCTCAGCAAAACCAACACCAAACGAATAGAAATGAACAACAAGCCCATCATGTTCATCCGCCACCGCCCCAAGTTCAGAGACAACATCCTCCAATCTGTGTTGGAGAGAATGACCGAGCTAATGCGCACCAATACCGAGCTGGGATTCAAGCTCCACCAGTTCAAAACAACAACTTTGAAGTTAAAGCTTCCCTGCTCAATATGGTGCAAAACTCAAAGTTCCACGGTCTGGCTGGAGAAGACCCTCTCGAGCATCTAGATCAATTTGATCGGGTTTGCGACTTAACCAAGATAAATGGCGTCTCCGAAGATAGCTTCAAGCTACGCTTGTTCCCTTTCAGCCTCGGTGATAAAGCACACCAGTGGGAAAAGAATATACCGAGGGGTTCTATACAAACCTGGGAGCAGTGTAAACTGGCGTTCTTATCAAAGTTCTTTTCCACATCACGCACGGCTAAGCTCAGGAATCAGATCTCAAGTTTCACGCAGCACAATAACGAGAGCTTTAGTGAAGCTTGGGAATGGTTTAGAAGCTACACTAACCAATGCCCACACCACGGCTTCTCAGAGGCATCCCTCTTGAGTACTTTATACCGAGGTGCACTCCCCAAGATCAGAAACCAACTCGATACAGCTTCAAATGGGAATTTTCTTGGAAAAGAGATCACTGCGGCAATGGAACTAGTTGAGAACCTAGCCATGTCCAATGACACGTATGGAGAGGACTTTGATAAAGCAAACCGTACAGAGGGATCTAGTGATGAACAGCTCATGAAAAAGGATATAAGAGAGCTTCAGAGTAAGGTTGACAAGGTTTTGATGGCGACTCAAAAGCCAATACACTTTGTAGGCGAGTTTGATGAGCAAGGGCCAAGTTTTGAGAATGTCAATGAAGATGGTCTAACACAAGAGGAGCTGAATTACATAGGGAATCAGCAGAGGTATCAGCGGTTTAACAACTACAACAGTAACCCAAACCTCTCATACAGAAACCCGAATGTAGCTAACCCTCAAGACCAAGTGTACCCTGCTCAACAACAACAACAAAGCTATGCTCAAAAGGCTCCTTTTCAGAATACCTTCCAGCCTAAGCAACAGTTCAGTGGGCAACAACACGGCTACACTCAGCAGAATCAAGCGGCTCAGAGTAACAACTTCAACAACCAACCGCAGCAACACAGGTTTCCACCAGGGTTCCATCCGCAGCCGATGGGTAATCAACAACAGATTCAGGGAACGGGTCAGAATCAAATGGGGAACGACGTCTGTGGGATACTACAGCAACTGTTACAGGGCCAGCAAAGGGTTGAGAGCCAGCACGCGACAATGCAGCAAGATATCAGAGAGCTTAAGCAGAATAAAGCTTCTACATCATCAAGAGGCCCGGCTTTACCAGGTAAACCGGAGCCGAACCTTAAAGAGTATGTGAACGCCATCACATTGAGGAGTGGTAAGGAATTACAAACTCCAACGCCTAAGACAAAGCTCATTGAGGCCAATGAGCAATTAGAGGGGGAGGCAGCCTCAGACGATGCGTGTAAAGAAGCGGTCTTAGAGAAGGAACCGATCAAGGACAAAGGAAAAGAGGTGAAAAAGACAACCGAGCTTGAAAAGCCCTATGTTCCACCACCACCTTATCAACCCAAGATACCGTTCCCAGGGCGTTTCAAAAAGAAAATCCTAGACAAGGCCAAGGCGGTCTTTGAGAAACACTTGGAGAACACGCAACTCCCCTTACCCATTATAGATGCTTTCTTAGCTATACCCCAGCTTGGGAAGTTTCTAAAGGACGTGATCCTCAACAAGACAAAGGAGCTCCAGGGTATGGTGATACTGAGCCATGAGTGCAGTGCCATAATACAAAGAAGATCTATACCAAGGAAGTTATCCGATCCGGGCAGCTTCACTTTGCCGTGTGCTTTAGGTCACCTGAAGTTCTCAAACTGTTTATGTAACCTTGGAGCTTCTGTGAGCTTAATGCCTTACACGGTGGCCAAGAGATTGGGATACAAAAGCTACAAGCCAGCCAAGATCTCTCTTGTATTAGCTGATAGATCGGTTAGATTACCGGTGGGGTTGCTTGAGGATCTACCTTTGAGGATCGGTGAGATAGAAATCCCCACGGACTTCATAGTTCTTGAGATGGACGAGGAACCATTAGACCCTATCATCTTGGGCCGACCGTTCTTAGCAACCGCAGGAGCGATAATAGATGTGAGAGGAGGAATGATTGAACTACACATCGGTTCCGAGACTATGAAGTTCAACGTGAAAGAAATGATGAAGAAACCGACCATTGGAGGTCTGGTTTTCTATGTGGAGGTAATGGAGGAGCTGGCTGATGAGCTCCTTGAAGAGTTGAACGCAGAGGATCCGTTACAAGTGGTCTTAACGCGGGAACAAAGCGAGCACGTGTACTTGAACGAGGAAAGCGAGGTGTACAAGCGTCTTTGGGACCAACCGAGGGAACTTGGAGCTGAGGCGAGGTTTTTGGAGCTCCACACGAGCAGCCTCGACATCTAGAAAGCGAGGAGTCAAAGGGAAAAGAAGAGACACCTCGGGATATCATGGCCGTGACAACTCATACCGAGGCCGATGGTAAACCGCGCGAGAATGAAGCAAAGGCCGAGGAAGCTGTTCCGGGCCAATGCAGCTTTGATGCCGATTGGAATGAGGCAGACGCACCCCCTGTTGAGCTCAAGCCTCTACCAACAGGGCTCAGGTATGCATTCTTAGGTCTAAACTCTACTTTTCCTGTTATCATAAACGATAACTTGCTTGAGCATGAGGAACGTGCATTTCTTAGTGAAATAAGGAAATTCAGGAGAGCCATAGGGTATTCATTGGCTGACATTAGAGGAATCTCTCCTGATATATGCACCCACAGGATCCACCTAGAGGACCAAACCATGTCCTCTATTGAGCACCAACGTCGACTTAACCCGAACCTCAAAGAGGTGGTTAAGAAGGAGATACTAAAGCTCCTTGAGGCAGGGATAATATATCCAATCTCTGACTCTCGGTGGGTATCTCCTGTACACGTTGTGCCCAAGAAAGGTGGGATCACGGTGGTGAAAAACGATAAGGATGAACTCATAGCCCAAAGAACTATAACCGGCCATCGCATGTGCATTGACAATAGGAAATTGAATTCTGCATCAAGAAAAGATCATTTTCCTTTACCATTCATTGATCAAATGCTTGAACGGTTAGCTAATCATCCTTATTTTTTTTTTCTCGATGGATACTCGGGGTTCTTTCAAATACCTATAGACCCCCGAGATCAAGAGAAAACGACATTCACCTGCCCTTATGGCACTTATGCTTATAGAAGAATGCCATTCGGTTTGTGTAATGCACCAGCCACTTTTCAAAGATGTATGATGCACATTTTCTCTGATCTAATTGAAGAGAAAGTTGAGGTGTTTATGGATGACTTCTCCGTATACGGCTCCTCTTTCTCCGAATGTCTTGCTAATCTTTCTCAGGTTCTCAAGCGGTGTGAGGAGCATAGGCTTGTCTTAAACTGGGAAAAGTGTCATTTCATGGTCCAAGAAGGCATTGTCTTGGGACACAAGGTATCAGAGAAAGGCATCGAGGTGGATAAGGCCAAGATCGAGGTGATGGTGAACTTACAAGCCCCGAATTCTGTGAAAGGAATAAGAAGCTTCCTTGGCCACGCTGGGTTCTATAGACGGTTCATCAAGGATTTCTCCAAGATAGCCAGGCCTTTGACCAGGTTATTGTGCAAAGAAGTGGATTTCAACTTTGATGAAGAATGTGAGGAAGCGTTCAAGAGAATCAAGGAGGCTTCGATCAGTGCACCGATTGTACAAGCCTCTGATTGGTCTTTACCATTTGAAGTGATGACCGATGCATCTGATTATGCTGTAGGAGCTGTCTTGGGACAGAAGAAAGATAAGAAGCTCCATGTGATCTACTATGCCAGCCGCACTCTGGACTCGGCTCAAGAAAAGTATGCCACCACCGAGAAGGAAATGCTTGCCATTGTGTTTGCATTTGACAAATTCAGGAGTTATCTAGTGGGATCAAAGGTCACGGTTTACACAGATCACGCGGCCTTGAGGTACCTGATGTCTAAGAAGAACAATAAGCCGAGGCTTTTGAGATGGGTCTTATTGCTCCAAGAATTTGACATGGAGATACTTGATAAGAAGGGCATTGAAAACGGAGCCGCAGATCACCTCTCAAGGCTGAGGATTTAAGAACAGGTCCCTATAGATGATGCTTTACCCGAGGAACATCTCATGTTAGTCCGGTCTTACTTAGAGGTGGAGGAAGCCAATACGATCAAGGAAAGAAGCCTTCCATGGTTCGCGGATCTTGTGAACTACTTGTCTTGCGGATTAGAGCCACCAGACCTTGATACTTATCAGAGGAAGAAGTTCTTTAGAGATGTGATGAGGTATCATTGGGATGAGCTGTATCTTTACGTGCTTAATAAGGACCATCTCTATAGGCGATGCTTGGCCAAAGAAGAGATCCATCCAGTGCTACAAGAATGCCACGGCTCATCGTATGGTGGTCATTTAGGTGCGTTCAAGACAGTTGCCAAGGTTCTACAGAGCGGTTTCTGGTGGCCGACCATGTTCAAAGACGCCCAGGAAGTGGTCTCAAGGTGTGAAGCTTGTCAAAGGCACGGAAACATATCCAAAAGGAATGAAATGCCCCAAAACCCAATCTTTGAAGTAGAAGTCTTCGACTGTTGGGGCATTGACTTCATGGGTCCCTTTGCAAGCTCATATGGGAATCAATATATCCTTGTAGCAGTGGATTATGTGAGTAAATGGGTTGAAGCGGTTGGATCTCCGACCAACGATTCAAAAGTGGTGGTAAAACTCTTCAAGAGTATCATCTTCCCATGGTTTGGAGTACCAAGAGTAGTCTTCAGTGATGGGGGAAGCCATTTCATCAACAAGACTCTTGAGAGTCTTTTGAAGAAGCACGGAGTAAAGCACAAGGTGGCCACCCCTTATCATCCGCAAACCAGCGGCCAAGTGGAGGTTTCCAACCGTCAGATAAAGGCCATTTTGGAAAGGACCGTGAACTCATCCAGGAAGGATTGGAGCAAGAAACTTGACGATGCTCTGTGGGCTTACAGAACCGCCTACAATACCCCCATTGGAACCTCACCGTTTAACTTGGTCTATGGGAAGAGCTGTCATCTACCGGTTGAGTTGGAATACAAAGCCTTGTGGGCAGTGAAACTTCTGAACTTTGACATCAAGACCGCACAAGAGAAGAGGGTTTTACAGCTTCATGAGCTTGAGGAGATCCGGTTAGATGCTTTCGAGAGCTCTAAGATCTACAAAGAAAGAACCAAGGCGCTCCATGACAAGAAGATACACAAGAGAGAGTTCAAAGAAGGGGACCAAGTTCTGTTGTTTAACTCAAGACTCAAGCTGTTCCCTGGGAAGCTGAGGTCTAGGTGGTCCGGTCCGTTCACGATTCTTGAAGTAAGACCCTATGGAGCCGTGGTTTTGAAAGGAAAAGATGGACAAGGCTATGTGGTAAACGGCCAGAGGGTAAAGCATTACTTGGC